ATTACATGTTTAGGAGGATAACGTGAAATTGTTATACCACAAAAACCATCGCTGACCTCGCCTCGGTCAGCAATGGTTTTTAAGGGGTAAGAGTTTTACATCTCCCAAAATAAACAGGTAATATTTTTCTTGTCATAAAATGCATTTTAAAGAAAACATCAAGGTGAAACGAATGTGCAAACATTCTGCACAGCTAACATTTTTTATTACTGTATATACTGTTACCCGTAGTCATGCATTTTCAACCATTGGGATGTAATGTTTGGCATACAGTATGGTAATAGTACTTGTTAACAAATGTTTTTTAAACCAATCAAATTTGACTATTTAACATGAGTGTATCATAACGTCAAATTTATCTAGCATAATGGTGCTGTAAGTAACCATGGAATGTGAGCTTGTGTGAACTTGATCCTGAATTATTAAGTTTTGAATATTGTAAAAAAGAATTGTGCAGCCTAAACTTTAACTTGTACCTGATTTAAATGGAGTTCTGTCATTAACAACTTGGAAGTTGGAAGTTGTCACACTCTTCATGAGTATAATAACTGGGGGATCTGCTTCATTTGCAGATGGATAACACATTCACTCAAAGCACTGTCCCTTTTTCAGTACCTTGTGCAGCCCTGTAATATATAATGACAAATGGAGAAAAATGCCTATTTCAAGAAAAAAAAAAGTCTGTCTCATAATTGTAGGAGTATTGGGAAGGGGGGGGGGGTCATGAAACTTGGCGGTTAATACAGTTTGTATGTGTAAATGAAAAAATGCCTTCTTCTTTGTAGAATAAAAAATGATTATTTTTTGAGTGTGTGTGACCATTTTTATTTCCGAATAGACAGGGTAGCTTATAGCCTACAGAATGAGCTGACCATTTTTATTTATTGTAGTAATTAAATTAAAAAAAAAAAAGAATGTGTTTTCTACAAAGATCATATGTTATAGACGTGGTATTCAACTTTGTATTCCCATGGTCGATGCATTTGGGTACATCTATTTTTTTTTATTTGCTTTCAATGACATCGCATTCAATATCCCAAACTCATGTATACCTGTCCAATACTCCAAATTATACCACTGTAAGCTAAGTCAATGCTTTAAATTTATGAAACCAATCTGTAGATAAGCGTACCTTTTGAATACAGACGATTTTAGCATAAAAACGATTTAATTTTCCCTTTTTGCTTAAGTATGTTGGCTAATCTTGGCCCCCTCGGAATAGCTTGTGTTTACGTTATGTAATGAAAAAATAAAGCAATTAAACGCTATTTACCTGCATCTATCAATCCACTTTCTCCTCTTCTTTGCAACAATCGGGGATCAAAACAAACTACAAGTTTAATAATTCCACTGCGATGCTTACAACTTAAGTAATCCATTGTCTCCAAGAACGCTCAGGTACCCGGGAGTTGTAAAACGAAAGTGAAAGTCAACGAGACTTACAGAACCTTTGAATTTTCCTATAGTATACATGATAGATAAGTGTAAGAAATATAATTTGTAAGAAAAAAAAAAAACAAATTCTACTGGGGTGCTTAAAACTAAATGCGAAGCTGTAATCCATTGTCTGCAAGAATGGTAAGTTATAAAACGAAAGTGAAAGTAAATGAGAATTAAAGGCTATAGTCTTGGGAGCAGTTGTTATTTCATAAATAATTTGAATAGGTGATATCACCTATTCGAATAAGTGATATCACCTATTCAAAATGATTAAGTGATATCACCTATTCGAATAAGTGATATCACCTATTCGAATAGGTGATATCACCTATTTGATTTGAATAGGTGATATCACCTATTCGAATAAGTGATATCACCTATTCAAAAGGAATAAGTGATATCACCTATTCGAATGGGTGATATCACCTATTCGAATTGGTGATATCACCTATTCGAATAAGTGATATCACCTATTCGAATAGGTGATATCACCAATTCAAATCAAATAGGTGATATCACCTATTCGAATAGGTGATATCACTTATTCGAATAGGTGATATCACCTATTCGAATAGGTGATATCACCTATTCAGAAGCTGAATAGGTGATATCACTTATTCGAATAAGTGATATCACCAATTGAATAGGTGATATCACCTATTCGAATAGGTGATATCACTTTTTGGCAGTAAATACCAAAACGGCGCCTCATATCATACTGCTAAGTTTATAACTATGTTCAGAGTTCACACTAATCAATTAAGCAGTATCTTTTCTCCTAAAATTAAAAAAAAAATGTTTTTTTGGATGATACACGAAACAGTGAAGATTACAAGGTTCCAATATCAGCAGATTAGAACATTACAAAAAATCTTTTGTACCCGACACTAATCGAAAATGGAACTCACTGAAATTAGAAGTCAGAGAAGCAACTTCTCTCAATACATTCAAGAAAAATATCACAGAAATAATTACTAAACCTCCGAAATATTCCTCGTTTGATATACGTACTATCAATAGTATTCACACCAAATTAAGACACAACTGTTTGCAAAATTATGATCTTTATGGACGAAATATTTTTACTTCTCCTAAATTCTCCTAATTGTAATTGTGGTCAGTATGAGGATGTTTATCATTTTTCCTTTGTTTATAAGAGATATATAAAAACAGGAAAAAATCTTTTTGACAAACCTTTTAGACTGAAAGAAACAATCCTATCAGACACACATCTGTTGCTATGGGGTAGTGACAGTTTGTCTTATGATATGAACTGCTTTATTTTTTCATCAGTTCACAAATTCATTAATGAATCTGGAAGATTTGATTAACATTTCAATTTATTTATGCCATTTGCCAATATTATTTACTATATGTTATTATTATGACAATTGTACTAACTGTATTTACTTTACGAACACCTGGAGAAGAACTTGTTTCCGATCCATAAAATATGTTCAAATCAAATCATAAACATTAGGGATGGGTATCGGCAAAAATTTCGTATCGTGATATATCACGAATTTTTTCCCAAAAATATCACGATAAATCGTGATATTTTTACACATAATTTTTACTACAATTTCAAATGAATTTCCATAATATTTCTTAAAAATATGCTTTAAAGACATATATTTACTTTTTAAATTTTGATTTATTTAATATAAAGCATTTTTAGATGCCGTTGTTTAACTGCTTTCAACATTTTTTACACTTCCTGTTATTGTCATTCAATAGTTTTAACAAATAAATGAATAATTTCCGGAATTTATAGTTATGTACCAAATACCGGTATTTTAGTCTCCGTATCACGATACGTATCACGCAATAAAAAATCGCGATATACCGGTATACCGATAAAATCGCGCATCCTTAATAAACATAAACAAAAAAGATGACATGGTTTGCTTAACTATAGTTTGTATCATTTATTCAACATTGAATCATTGTTTTGTTTTTTGTTTTTTTTTTTAATGGCCGCCTTCGAGGTACAATATTCACCTCGCCCTTCGAGCTCGGTGAATTTTGTACTCCTATAAGGTGACTAAATCATGGCATCGACCTCAAAAACAACAATAATTGTATAATGTTGCATGCTGACATATTTATTTTGTGTGTCAACATAATCTGTAGAAAAAATATCGTACATATGAAGCGGGCAGAAATATGCAATCATATTAGATAAATAGAGGGATATGATGATTTATTTACTAGTATATAATGTACTCGTATTTGCCGGTACTGGTTTATATGAATAGCGGTCCTAGGAACATGCTTGCCCTGTCTAAGTACTTCATCCATATGTGCTGAAATGTATTTAAATGGATTTTTGAAAAAAAGTTTTATTATACTTACCCTAGTGTCTTTAAATTAATTCAATTGAGAAATACTAACAATGTTAAAGATCTTTTTAATTTGGGCAATTTTTTTTAATACTGCCACACTGTCAGGAAAAACAATATTGATGTATAACACAGTTTTTATGCATGTATTTTAAGTTCACTCTCTCTGTATGTACTTATTACTATGATGAGCTAGTTGGCTTAAGGAAGGAAACTTGAAACTTGGATGTAGAGTCATGAAAAACATATGATAAATGTCAAGTAAATTCCTTAAGGTCATGAATCGGCTATCTCATAATTTCCGGTTTGACCGGTTCATGTCAAATAATGAAAAAAAAAAGATTGTATCAACGACATAATTTATATTTTCATTGTACGCGACTAACGAAATCCAATTATGTTTTAGGTGAAGTTCAGGGTGTCATGAATTTCACAGTTTTGTTTAAGGGCTTACTGTTTTAAATAATAAAATAAGATTGTGCGATCCATTTATCCTATTTCCATGTAAATAATTAAATGCATTTCAATACTTTAAAGTTATGAAGCTTATTGTTCAAACCTAGGACAAAAACAATGGACGCCGGGACATTGGTGGTTATTGTCCCTTGTAATGAAGCCTCTTAGTGCCAAGGAACGAAGAGTGAAGAAAATGCTTGAAATTCGCATCCATTTTTTACGATTTTTCGCACCATCCCTAGTCCGCCGGGTCAGAGGAATGGTTACGCTAAATTATACATGTACCAGTTGGAAATTGTTTTCAAGTCATATACGTCAAATGTATCTTTTAAATTGCTCGATTTTAAGCATGCCACATACAAGCCAGTAATAATACCCATTTTATCAACTTTGTTGACAGAGGATAGCTTCCTCTTCTAAGCAGATATTATTTGACTTAACCAACTCAGTTCCTTTCACCTTGTGGACTACCAATAGGGAATACTACCTTTCACAACATGCTTAAAAATTTTTACTTCCTGTAGTATAGAATGTGCAAGTCATTATACAACGTTCCTCATTTCCAACACCCGTTGCTCAATTTTAGAAATACTTCCGTATGGTTTTCAAATAGGCCTTCTGGATAATTTTCTGGGTCAATAAAGAGATTGACTCCCAATTCAACACTAGCTAACATAAAATATATCTGACAGGTCAATTTTTTTTGTTGGTTTCATTAAATGTAACCAATTCTTTATAAGTGAAAACAAAGAAAACTTAAAATAAGAATTTTGCTTTTTTTAATGAATTTTTTTTTTCAAAGTATGAGCCAGTCAAATATCAAAAACTCCTAATAAAATTTAAATAATACAAAGAAAAATATTCAAATTTCCATATTAAAAAAATCATGTTAGTCCAGAAGAAAAAAATCATAAAATAACACATCTGTTTGTAGAGACTGGCTTTGTGTGGAGATTTTAGCTCTGGAGTTGTTTGTCATACATGTACTCTCCCAGACCAGCACCGACACGCTTCAGTTGAGTAATGTGATCCGAGATTTCCTTGATGGCATTGACTTGCTCCTCAAGATAATTCGACTCAATGAAATCAGTCATCTGGATAAATACAAAACAAATGCTTTAAGAAAATTAATATCATGACTATTCCTTTCTTTTCTTTTCTTTTAATTTCAAAATTTTTTAGTTTAATTGAACAGTTTGTTACTTTCAATGCAACAATTCAAAATTGCGAGACAGCTCTAATCCTAACTTGTATTAACAACCTTGAGAAAGTGATAATCATCATTTGTATTAACATCTTTCTCCATGGTAATTATTCAAACGCATGCCATATAGTTATTCCTTAAGACATTTTTATAAGAGGATTAAAGCAACTAAAAATCAATGATACCTGCGCATCTGAGTGACTGTCTGCAACTTTGTGAAGGTCAAGCAGGGATTGGTTAACACTCTTCTCCAACTGAAGTGCTACCTGCATGGCATCAAGACCTGTTCCCCACTCATCTCGGTCAGGTTTCTATACAATTCAAAACTTCATTTTAATGCTAAATGAAATTCCATAACAAACTTATTAATGCCTCATTTAGAACAACTAAGGTTAGCTATTTCTTATCTATTTATTTCAACAAGTCAACTTGTTGACTTTATATTCTGCTGTTAAATTTGAAACAATCAGACGAGATCCAAGCTATTCATGCAGCAATGAGTGGCACTGACCCCCAAATAAAAGTTTATACAAATATTGACAAACCTTGATGTCTTGCAGCACAATACGCCCTCCTCTTTTGTTCTGATATTTCATTAGCTTCTCAGCATGCTCGCGCTCTTCACTGGACGAATCACTAAAGAACTTGGAGAAACCTGGCAAGGCTACATCATCCCGATCAAAGTACATTGCCTACAGATAATAGAAAGTCACATTTAAATTATAAACTTGTGGACTTTGAATTCATTAATTCTAATAAATTCCCATTATCTCGAGAGCAAGCAGGTATTTTCCAAAGACAAAACCTATCATTTATTTTTATTATATATTTCAAATTCATAGATTCCATTCGTAAGTAAGACAATCTATAGCTGTGTTACGACTTTGTACAAACACGTGATATTCTGAAGTCACGTGTACAAACATGAACTACAATTAGCAAAGTTACACAACTATTCAAAACAACTGATTCGTTGAAACATATGAAAAGGGGATTTAACACGAAACTTGTTACATTCCATGGCATAACATTTCCAAAATAAAACAAATAGACCTATTGCGTGTTAAAATTATTATCAACATCCGGGCATTACTCACCATAGACTGGTAAGTGTACGAGGCGTAGAGTTCCATGTTTATCTGGCGGTTAATCCCTGCTTCACTTTCCTCATGAAAGTTTTGACGAGGCTGACTTTGAGACATTGTTCTAGCTGTGTAAAATTTGAGGAAAAAAGACCTAGAAAGACTTGGCTGACAAACCCGTCCGTACGTACACTGACGCAGCAACACAGGAATCATCAATAATGGCCGGTATTTCCGGCCGAGGTGTTTATATATTCAATGGTGACGTCATAATGACCCTGTTCCACATGACTTATTCGTCCATGTGAAATCGTTACTAGTAAACATTTTCTCCGGACTTTTTAAACCAGTTTCTCTAAACAGGTTACCACCGAACCCAAAACACACAGGCCTGTAGCAACGGTTTCAAAATTGAAAGGGGGGGGGGGGTCGACCTCCCAAAAAATCCGACAAGCAAAAAAAAAAAAAAACAAAACAAAACAAAACCAAAAAAAAAAAAAAACTACCCAAAAATAGGGAAGAGAGGGAAATTGATATTACAAGAAAAACAAAACAAAACAAAAGAAAAACAAAAACAAAAACAAAACAAAACAAAACAAAAACAAAATAAAACAAAACACCTAAACTGTCAAAATACTCTTTTTAAATTTTTATTTTTTATTCAATTTTTTAAAATTTATTTTTCAACATTTTTTACAATCATTGAATAGGCAAAGGTATAGCAGGTTCAAATATTTATTTGTAACAATTAATACTTTTACTAATCGTGCAATGGTCGACTACAAAGAAAGATGGAATTGCACATAAATAAAATAATCACATTAATCTACCCTTACATAATGCTTTACAATTAATTATACGGTCTCTCAATAATAATACAATCTGATCCCCTAAATATTTTTATGTTCAAGCTCAATAAGTGGTAAATGAAATGATTTTTTCTCTGCACACAAATTACTGGTAGCGAATTCACTTTAAACCGAACAGTGTGACGTATGTTCTAAATTATGACCCTGGCATGGTGATTCGAGGATTAAAATGTCATTCTCTCACGCGATATTTTGAAATAAAAAATATTTATATATGGCATACAAATAACAAGAATTCTATGAAAAGGTGTATCCAGACTAAAATCTCTAGGGCCATGCAGTTAAAGAATCCCACAGTATCAAAACATATAGATTCAGGGTTCCATCATGCAGTTGTAAATACTATTGGGAGAGATGATCAATAACATGTATTTATACAAGTATTTACGTACATGTATTGTATGATTATACAGGAAGTTCGATGTATATTTAGATATACAGGCACTGGTGAAGCATGGTCGTTGAATTATTTTATATATAGTTTCTGTTTCATATTTGGTGTATATATATCTATGTATATGTATAATATATATCTGACACAGAAACCGTGAATTGAACGGAATTAACCCAGAGATAAAGCTGATTTATGTAAATTTTATACATGTACATTAATATTTCCTTGAGAAGTATATGTAATGCATATTGCCTACTGATTTCAACATTCCAGATTTCATTTTTTCTTTTTATTTTAAATTCTTCCTCACAATTAATTATATATATATAATTTATAGAAGAAGCAAAACTGTTCGCTCTTTGTGGCCCCACCCGAGACCAAGGGACCATGATTTCTACATTATCTGAAGTGTTCTTAGGATGATTTTTAATGACATATATTCCCATGTCAATACCCCCGTACCCCCTGTCTACCTATTCTAATGCCAAAGGCCATGATTTTTACAAACCTATTCAATTTCACACTATACGAAAAATAAAACTTATACAATCAATCAATCAATCAATCTATATATATACCGGGGGTATATATATATATATATATATATATATATATATATATATATATATATATATATATATATATATATATATATATATATATATATAGACGAATTCTCACTAAGTCCTCTTTAAAGAAACGACAGAATTTCATGTGACCAAATGCCAGGATCCGCGTTGTGAGTCACATTTATTTCTTTGTTATTGTATTATTTTGCCAAAAGTACGGGAAAAATATGCATTCTTTGTGCCGCAGGCCTATTTTCAAAAACTACGTTAAGTGCTAAGGGCCTTTTTTGCGCCTACTGCTAACTCATTAAGATCTTAAGTTTCTATTACTATATATATAGAAATAGATTAAATGTGGTTCCATGCACTTTAGCCCCAGAGGTACGCCATATAATTTGAACAAACTTGAATGTACACTATATACGGAAACATTTCAGATAAATTTTGTCTTTTCTGGCCCAGCGGTTCTTGAAACTGTTTTCAAATGATGCCACCTATTATTACTTATTAGGTCGCATGATTGTCTCAAGTGACCCATTGCTATCTGTTTTCATCGGTTACAGTGTATCGTGTGTCGTGCGTTAACATTTGGACATTTTCAGTTTCTTCTCTGGAACCGCTGAAAGTAAAACAAAATTTTTGAATTTCATGGTTCCCGTTCCGCTGAGGCCTGAAGGGTGGGACTAAAACCATAAATAATAATGCAATCTTTAAAGATCTTCTTTACTCCTGGAAATCAAGCACTCAAACTGTTTGTATAATTGTAAAAAGCATTGATCCCTCAACCAAAGGACATGGAATGGTTACAACCGAATTTGTCTCCTTATTTGATATAAAAATCAAAACACAATTGAAATTAAAATTGTGATAGTTTTCAGTTAAAAACTTTAAATAGTGCTTGTAAAATCAGCACAAAATTTGATTCAAAGCATACATGTACACAGGGCCACTTGAGGGTGCCAACGTAAGACATTTTACCGATCGAATCTCCTCATTTCTGGTGGAATTTAATTCGTCACATTCCAGATACTTTTCACTTCGGGAAACAGAAAGCACAAGCTTGCCTATCTGAGATTTCTAAATCGTTCAAACGATTTTCTAAATCGTACAAAAGAATTTCTGAATCTTACAAAACGATTTATTAAATCGTCAAACGATTTATTAAATCGTTCAAAAGATTTATTAAATCGTTCAAACGAATTAAAAAATCGTTCAACGAATTAAAAAAAATTCACACGGTTTTTATTTTATATTATTTTTTTCTGCAAAATTGATATGGCACTTTATATACGCCATTGTACGTATATACATGCAAAAAAAACCTTCCACAACATGTTTTGGTTATCAGGATTATCTTTCTTTACATCGCTTGTGTTTTATGCATGCTTTACAACATGTATCTTGGATATTGTATCTATGTAATCAGCAGTTTTATGCCCCCGTAATCGAAAATTTGGGGCATATATAAATAGTTTTTGCTCAATCCAACCGCCTGTCTGTCAGTCAGTCTGTCTGTCCGCAAAAACTTTAAACTTGCCCAACACTTTAAATCGGTTGAAGCTAGGGCTTTTCATATACTTTACAGTTAGAGTTTAGAGTTTCACCTACATTTGAACAACTTTAAAGGACTTATCGCATGTTTCTAAATTATTTGAAACTAAAATTTTTAAATGGTTGATGCAAGGTCTCTCATATTTCAGAGATGTATTCCTTGTGACAAGATCTTTCTTTGGGTCCCAACAAGTTCGACCTTTTGACCTTGGCCTTGGAATTTGACTTGCATTCAAGAAACTTTAAACTTTCCCCTGGACTGCCATACGGGGGCATCAATTTTTCACAAACACATCTTGTTTTTTTTTTTTTTTACTTTGTTATGTAGTAAGGACATGCATAATTATAGTGTGGATATATTATATTATATGTCTGAGTGAGACAGCCTGATGTTAAAATGGTTATAATTATATATTCACTCCTTCTACCTTGTAATGAGTCAACCGCTAAAGAAAGAAAAAAATAATATCTTGACATTATTCGTGGAGATTTTACAGAGAAGCTGAAGGATTTTATAAAGCTGCAATTCAGTACTTGTATCCATTTACTGTAAGTGTTTAATGATCGATATTTAAATAATGTATATTGTTGTGCTTCATGTAAATTATTATCTGCACCATAAGAATTGTTTACAGAGGTAGATCGTAGATCTAGATGGTCGGATATGGCCAGTTTGCCGCATATAAGATATTCATTAATTCGGACCATTTCAGTAAACAATTCTGTTGCATTTTCGGTACTTACTTAGTATATATTATAGTTTTCAGTTCCTGAGTTCATCAGAATTCATTGTAAATGTGTCTTCATAACTGATCGGCAAACAGGAGTAAATAACTCAAGATGGGAAGGGGAAAATCTCCCAAATTTTTAGAGTTGTTCCTCTTTGACCAGTGAACTTTTGGAAACGGGTCGTAAAACTTTTTTTTTCTTAAAAGGAGAACAAAAGAGTATTTATATGGCTAATTCTTAATTTTAAGATAGGCCCGTGATCTGGTAATGCGAATGTTACATAGCCAACTGTAACAAAAGAAAGCAATTTATCATAAAAAAATAAAGAATATTGTTCTGCTAATATTGATCACGGATACGAGTTTCTTATAAAATTAAAGAAATTTCTTTTCTTCCCTTTTTATGGAAGGAGGGGTGGGTTTTACATCAAAAGCGCAAACAATCAAAGATGCGATTTGGTATTTCTAAAGAAACCACATCAAGTCCCTAATCCCATTTTCTTTTAATTACGTCGGGATCAATTCGGTCGTCATTTTGACGCTTTATAATAAACGTCAAATTTGACGTCAAGTTAAACGTTTAATTGAAATTGCAAGAGTTATCTCCCCCAGTGTGTTGTACGTCTTTAAGTACTGAAATTGAATCCAATATCATTTGTGCATTAAAACACAGCAAGATAATTATGATCAACCCATTCTTGTAATTTCTTAATGCGGTCATTTTTCAGCCGGGCCAATGCAGTGCTCGTAGAGCAATAGTCGGCTTTTTTCATTTTTAAAGATTTCCCCTTTGGTCGCTTAATTTTTTTTTTATTATTCGCAATTGTCTGTAAACTTCTAATGCGAAAATCTCTGTATACAAATGATTTATGATCTAAGATTGGCAATAAAATCATTATCGACACTTGCCTAAAAACCTCCAGATAATTTTTATTTTTAAGTGCGCTTGCAGTGATATTATGTTTCGGAAACTGAACAGATCAGCTAACCCTAGGTAACTGGCACACGTGTTTGTGTTCACGACTTGTGCAGATATAATATACTCCTAAAACTATTTCTGCTCAGTTATCATTGCCTGATTGGAGGAAAACTCGGAGAAACACCATCGCTTTTATCTCAAGGA